AATGTGTGGGATTGTCAATCTCTCTTGTAGGACCCAGGGACTGTGTGGCATCCCAGAGGATGCAAAGGGCAGCTACTGCTTCCTGAGTGTTTACTGTGTGCTGTGCCCTGTGTCAATTGCTATATCTGCATAAACGCATAGAAGCGTCACAACCACCCCGGGTGGGAAGGAGACGTGCTATGGTCAGACCCCGATAGCTGAGGAACCTCATACTCCAAGAGGTAATGTGACTTGCCCAAGGTCACACGGTGCATGTGTGTTGGAGACAGGATAGAAATGCTCTGAAAGACCCCAGCGGTGTCCTTGAATTCTGCTGGCTCAGTGCAGTGGAGGCTGATTCAGAGTCGGAGGGGTGGAAGCTCCAGCTTCCTTCTCTGAGCCTTGGCTGACAGTTGGGCCATCCAGCACTCCAAGACTTGGAGCCATTCCTGCCTCCTGGGTCTGGCGTCCAGATCCATGTCCCTGCTAGTCTGTAGTCCCCACAAAGCTCAATGAAACTGTGGACCCTTTGTGTCTTGCTTACTGCTGTATCTCTAGAGCCTAGCACAGTGCCTGGCTTATGATAGGTGCTCAACCAACGTTTGCTGTAGGGGTGGATGGATAAAGGAACGACAGCTGGGACTCTGGAACTTAGGTCTCACAGCTAGTCCTTAGCAGGATCTTATAATCTTCCAGGAAAGATTTTTCTCCCTGCATTCCAATCTCTCCAATGGAGACTGGGAGGTACTTGACAGATTATCCCAGCATGGGAGTCTGAGGCTCTTTTATTCCCCCTAAAATAGCTACAGACCAGAGTTATGTTCTCTCTGGGGGCATGAATATGATTTACCATGTTTCCCCAGGACTCATCCAGAAGCCTGGCATAAAGGGGTTAAAAATTCAGACTTCAGGTCCGTGTGGCCTGGATTCAAATCTGTCCCCTATAGCTGTGTGGCCTGAGGCAACTGACTTCATCTTTCTGAACTTTTGGTTCCTCTACCCTAAAATAAGGATAGTAACAGCCTATATTTCATAGAATTACATCAAAATTAGGTAAGACAGTTCATGTAACACTGTCTGGCACATAGTAAGAGCTTAATATAGCATTATTTGTACAATTAGAAAACTGATGAAAGATTAAGAATATTGGACAGTTCTCCATAATACCACTAGGTGTCGCCACAGACTTGGCTAAAATAACATTTGCTTCCCAAATGAAGCAGCCCCAAGAAGTCTGGAACAAGAGCCTTAGAGTTGGGAAAACTTCCCAAGGTCATGAAAGCAGGTCAGAAATTGGAATCCAGTTGTTCTGGAACTTTACGGGGCATGATTGGGAGGGGTCTACCCACCAGGGGTCCCACAGCTCTTACAGTGCTTGGGATATTTTTATTACCCGTTTGTAATAACACATAACTATGAGTGCTATGTGACAGGTGCTATTCTAAGCATTTTACAATATGAACCCATTGGCTGGGCGTGGTGGGTCACACCTGTAATCCCAGCACTTTGGGAGGCCAAAGCAGGAGGATTGCTTGAGGCCAGGACTTTGAGTCCAGCCTGTGCAACATAGCACACCCTGTCCCTATAAAAATTTAAAAATTATCTGGGTGCAGTGGCACAGTCCTGTAGTCCCAGCTACTCAGGAGGCTAAGGCAAGAGGCTCACTTGTGCCCAGGAGTTTGAGGCTGCAGTGAGCTATGATTGTGCCACTGCACTCTAGCCTGAGTGCAGAGCAAGATTCTGTCTCAAAAAGCAAAACAAAAAAAATGAACTCATTGAATCCCCACAAACCACCATATGAGGTAGAGTCTAATGTTTTCCCTGTTTTACAGATGGGAAACTGAGGCACAGAGAGGTTTATTAACTTGCTCAAGGACACACAGCTAGTAAATGTAGACTAAACCCCAGCATTCTGGCTACAGTCCCAGAGCTTACTTCTTTCTTTGATCATGTTGGTAACAATGTTTCTTGTTACATTTTAAAACTTTTGATATCGCATAGTTTCTTTGATGTTTTAATAACTAACTACTGGTTCATTACAGGTTGAATTTCCTGAATCTAAGTCTTGGTATGGAATAATGTTGATTTTCAAAAAAAAGTAATTGTCAGATTGATGGTATAGGAAAGTAGGTATTGTGATTTCACAAAACATTGTTCTATTCATAACATAACCATTTCCCGATACTCTATCATTTAGCCCCAAGTTGGCCATCCAATTCCAGATGAATTCCATTTGGTTGCCAGCTAAATCAGAGGCTTAGGGGACAAATGAGAAAGCTTGGCCTGGCTTTGCAGTCATTCCGTCACCATTCATTCAACAGTTACTGCCTCCAGATTGAACTTGGCCAGCGGAGACAGAAGAGGCCTAAGGGGGATTCGGGAGAAACGAACAAGATTGGGGGAGTGTGGAGCAGGAGACAGCAGGAGTCCTGGGTGAGTCTGGGTGTCTGGTGGGTGGGGGCAAGTTGGGGAGGCCTTGGCAGGAAGTTGAGGTCTGCTCAGCAAAGGTTTAAGGCAGCAAGACCTTCCAGGTCCCTCAAGTCAGAGCCAGGGTCGGTGTTGTTTCTACTGCCTGGAACTGAGCTGGGAGGGCGGAGCAGTCTTGTGGGCAGAGAGGAGAAGCACCAGCTGGGCAGGAGCCAGCTCCCTGGGAGTGAGAAGCCCTGGCCTCACCTTCTCCAGCCTTCTGGAGCCCAAAGGGAAAAGGGTTGGCCATTGAGGTCTTGTCAATGCCCAGACTTGGCATGAAATTGCTGGAAGATGATACTGCCCCCACCCCCAAAATGGACCTCTGATCCCTGCTCGGCAGCATATGTCACGTGCTATGGGATGGTGGGACCCCTTCCTTTCTTTTATATTTCTAGAGGCATAACATAGATAAAGTACATAAAGCCCCCTAGTCCTAAGGCATGGCTTGATGAATTTTTATTCATATAATCACCAGCCAGATTAAGATACAATCCTTTTCCTGCACCTCAGAAAAGTCCCTCATTCTCCTTTCCCTACTCCCAACCTGACCAGGTAACTACTATTTTGATTTCTATCACCAGAGAATAGCTTTGCCTGCCCTTAAAATTCATATGAATGGAATCATACAGCATGTACTGTTTTTGTGCCTGGCTCCTTTTAGTCCACATACCATACATGAAATTAATTCATACTGTTACATGGATCCATACTTTGTTCTTTTATATTACTATATACCGCACAGTATTCCATTGGATGAACACAAGACAATGTGTTTATCCATTCTCCTGTCGTTGGACATTGAGCTATTTCCAGTTTGAGCTATGAATAAATCTGCTATCAACATTCTTACACGAGTCTTTATGTAGACACAGGCACTTACCTCTCTTGGGTAAATTCCTAGGAGGGTAAATTCTAGGTCACAGCACAAGTGTACTGGATTTGGTACTTCCCAATTTATATGAATTTTAAAAAGTAGCACAGGTGTATGTTTAGATTTAGAAGATACTGCCACAAAGTGGCTGTACTGAGTTCCTGTGCTGTCAGCAGTATGCAAAACTTTTGAGTTGTTCTACATCCTTGCCAGCACTTAGCTCCCTCTTTTTCTAAACAAAAGCTTCCACTACAAGACTCCTGTTTCCCTCCAGTGTTAGACACCAGGTGTCCCTAGCATGGATGTGTTGATCCCCTAGTCCATAAGCAGCAGGATGTTAAGAGGCCACATCCAGACCTGTTTGAGTCTCAGCTAGAGGAGGAATGGACATCTCCTTGACTTGGATGTGACCCCAGGAAATGGGTGACCATGAGCATGAAACAAAAAGACAGCAGAGTGACAAAACTAATATGGGTCCTTGATGACATGGTCAAGCCATGCCATTCATCTGCCACTGAGTGGCAAGCTACTTATTTTTTAAGCCAATTGATTTAGGGATTTTGGTTTTGTGTGTGTGTTTTTTAACTTGCAACATAAAGGATAGAGTCCACAAACCCTCCTCATTCCCAAATCCAGTGGCGCTGTTTCTCTTCTCCACAGCATCATACCTGCTGAGCAGTCTACCCCACTGGCCACCACTTCTCAGTCTCCTTTCCTGGCTCTTCCTCCTCTGCCCACTCTTCTATCTACTGTCTTTCCCTTGGGTTCTCATCCGATGCCATGAGCTGTGTGCTGATGGCACCCACATTTCTATCTCCAGCCCTAGCCTCCCTTCCGAGCTGGGGAGCTCAGCTCATATAAAACTATCTATTCACCCTGTCTGCCTACATGTTGCCCAGGCATGTCAACCTTAACTTCTCAGAGCCAAACTTTTGATCTTCCCTCTCAGTTTGTTCTTTCTTCAGGCTTTATCATCACCTTGGTCAAGAGCTCTTTCACCTCAAGGCTAAATCCCAGCTAGGTGTTATTGTCCATCAGTACCCACCCAAGTTCAATCTTACGTCCTTTCCTTCTCCACCTCCCCAGGCCACCACTCTGTCTGAGTCACCATTACTTTCTTTATGCCTGAAAAGCTGTAAAAGCCTCCTAACTGATCTCCCCACACCCACAGCAGAGTACCTTCCAAGCCATGCAGCCAGGGTGGCCTTTTAAGAAACGCAAATTTGATACCATTGCCCTGATGAAAATGGCTTCCCTTGATTCTTAAAAACCAAATCTATTGTGTAGCGCTACCTGCCCTATTCCTCGCTCACCCCTCACCCTCACTCTGCTTCTTCCCACCTCCACATCTGGGACAAGTTGTTCATTCTGCCTAGAACATTTTCCCTCCTCACTTTCGCCCGGTACAACTCCTCAGCGTCCTTGGTTTCTTAGCCTAAATGCCGTCTTCCCAAGGAGGCTCCACCCTCACCTCCCACCCTACATTAGGACTCCGTTAATTTCTCATAACACTCTTTACTTTCCCTCGCAGCCCTTCCCATGATGCGTGACTATGTATTGATTTGATTAAAATTATTAGTGATTATTAGACTGGCAGCGCCTTCAGGTCACCCACTCTACTCCCATGCTCAGCGCTTGCACGTAGTAAGCGCTCGAGGAAAGTGCTTAATTAGCTAGTGAATGAACACGCTGACTCATTCGGTGCCCATAACAACCCAAAGGTCGGCGTTTCATCAGACGTGAGGAAGCTGAGAGTAGGGGTGGACCTGCTCGCCCAGGGTTGGGGCAAAGGGGAGGAGGCAGGGTTCTGACCCGAGGCAGCTCCCAGGCCGAGCCCCGATCTTTCGCTCCTAGCCGTGGCCCTTTCGTGAGAGGGCCAGGGAGGGAGTGGACTTCGAGCCACGAGAAGGTTCTCCCTGCGTTTACGGGCGACCCTAGGGGCACACCATGACCCGGGACTCACCCACGCGGAACTAAAGTACGCCCGCTCGACTCTCAATGAGTAAAGATCACAATCTGCTGCATATGCATGAGGGGTCCATGGGCCCGTGATTCGGGGCTGTCTAGCTGCGCCTGATTAGAAATTATTGGGGTTTGAAGGCCTCAGCGCTCTCAGACATTTGTAAAAGTACACAGAAAGTCCTCAGAGGGTCTTCTGTGGTGGATATTAAGGGGCTATCGACCGAGGGTGACCCTTCCTCTTTGGGCTGTGTGATCAGGCGTCGCCGTAGGCAGCCCGATCCCCGAAGGGGTCCTCAGCCGGCTCGACTAGAAGACGAAGGGGGCGTCTCCCCGGCTTCCTGCGGCGTCGGTGGCTGGCAGAGGTGGAGGCAGGCTGCGGCAGCGACAGCGACTGTGGCAGCGGCGCCATGGCAGGGCTCGCAGGTACCGTGGCATCAGCCTGCTGGGGGCGGGATGAGAGGCCCTCAATGCGGCCGCGCCGCCATGTTGTCCCTTCTGGGTCACCTTAGGCGTCGCCGGGTCCTCACGCTGGGATTTTCCTTCCGCACACACCGGGAGGGGGATGGGGGAGCACCCCTGTCCGCCGTCTAGTGATTGCCCTGCTTGGCCCTAGCCTGGGCCTTAGGGGTGTCTTCCCAGCCCAAGGGTGGGTCACTGGTCTCCTAGGTTCTCGCTCCGGCCTCCAAGGTCAGCGCCCTCCCAGAATAAGGCAGGCAGAGCCGGGGGGTGCGGGGCTGGGGAGCGCGACCACCGCCTCTCCGGCCCCAGATCCTATGGCGGGGGGCCCACCTTCTGGGAGGCCTGTCACTTTGCCACCACTTCGGTTGCATTTTTTAAATCAGAAGGCGTGGGGAAAAGAGTAGAAAAGGGTCTCCCGCCCCGGGTCCCCGCTTCCGAGTCTGGGGTGATAGGTTGACGCTCTGCTTCCAGTCGCAGGCGCTTCTTTCTCCCTCTAACTTTACCTCAAGTCGGGACACCCGTTCCTTTCCCTCTAATATGTGTGGGGAGTGGCCCTCAAGGGCAGCTGGAGGAACGGAATGCCTGGCACACTAATGGCCTGGAAAGGAAGAATGGGGGATGGGGGACAGTAGCTTTTTCCTTCCTTCTTCCAAATCTTTAGTTTCATTCCAGGCCTCCATGTCCCTTTTCAACGCTAAATGTTGGGAGACTGGGGTCTGTCATAGGAAAGAAACGGCCTTTCTGTTTATAGGTTCGGATCGTCTTTTATCCCCTTCAGGGAACTGGTGTGTTGGGACAGCTTCTCTGCCCTGCCTGACATGGTCCAATCATCCCATCAGCCTTCTGGACGGCAACACCAAAGCCGGCAGAAAAAAAAGTTCCAGCTTAAGTGCCAATGTCAAGTGTTAGATCTTATTTGCTTGTTTGTTTTAAATCAGAGACTAATTAACGTTGAGCAAATCTGTTCAAAGATTCAGTCACTGGAAGCCTGGTTGGTTTCCAATGACCAAGTCAAATCCATATCTGAAATTGGTCTTGTTAGAGTTGCTGCCAAAAACAGTTTTAACTTTTATCTGTAATATGTTGTTTCAAAGAGGAATCTGGGTTAGGCTGTCTTTTCTTTTTGTTGTTCTCCTATCTTTGAAACACATGCATTCCATTTCAAGCCTGTCACTGGGTGATATACCAAGGACCATGTGTTGCCTGCCTTTCTGACTTCCTGCTCTGGGAATGCTCAGGAATCTGGATCCTGCTGGGGTTTGGGCCCTATGGGAGGGAAAAGGGAGGGAAGGGAGGATAAATGGAATCATTCCCAGAGAAGATGGTGACAACATTTCTCTGGGGCATATAGAGGAAGTCAGAGGTCACCAGGGAAAAAGAGACTGTTGTTAGACTACTGTTTTGTGTGTGTGCATGAGTGCACATGTTTATATCTCTGGGGAAAAAGCTAACTGCAAATTCAGAATCTCCCTTTGGGGTGTTGGCTCCTAAGGAGATACAACATGTTTCAAAATAGTGAATGGCTCACAGCAAACCTCCCCTGTCCAACCCTCCTGTAATAAACTGCTGCTGGCCCTCCAACCCAAGCTCACGAAACCTGCCCCTGCCCTACTCCAAGAACAGACATCCCTTCCCTCAAATTCAAACACCCCGCAGATAGAGGTAACAGTGTCACATAGCACCCCACCCCTCTGAAGGTTGTGGTACCCAGCACCCCACCCCCCCTCAACTTCAATTCTAGGTTAAGAAATTTAACATCCTTCTCAGGGATTAGTCCCAAGGATCTCACCTCTTGCTGGATCCCACAAGGCCATTCCACACCCCTCACAACTCATTTGCTCTGTCCTTAGCCTTGTGGAGGCAGAGTCTTGTGGGAGCAGTGATGGTTTAGGGAAAGGGGACATTTAGTGCTGTGACTAAGGGCTTTGCAATAAAACACTAGTCATTTTCAACACCTCCCATTGCTCTCTTTCGGAATAAAATGTTTTAATGGTATAGCTTGTGGAAAAACATTATAAACAAGATATGTTTGGACCATTGCACAGGATGGGGAAAGTAAATGCATTCCTTTTGTCATCTCTGGTAGGTTAAGTTTGCTACCAGAACATAAGGGTTTGGGGGTAGAGAATGAAAGTAAGAAGCGGACATTGCACATTCAAGCCTAACCGTGCCGGTGCAGGCCACCAGGGCAGCCCTTGCCTGGATTTCTGTCATCTCACCATGCCACACTCAGAGCCCTGTTGGATGGATGGAGGAAAAGGGCTTTGCCAAGATCATCTGGAAAGCTCTGAGACTACCCGCAGCCTCTTGCCTTCTAAGGGGTGGGCACAGGAAATACTGTGTCCAGACCAGTCAGACTTTTCCATGCTGCTTTGGCCTGCATCCTTGAACTCAGCTACCTTGTCACTTGGGCTGATGTTAGAGCATCTGAGGCAATAGGACCATGGGCACACCCCTCAAAGGCTCTGAGGGGAGGGCCAGCCTTCATTGAGAACACATGTTGAAATATGTTCACGGTTCTGTGGGTTTAGTGTGGAAAACCACAGAAACTCCCAGTCTCGAGGCCTGCCAAGATACGGGCTTCAGAAGGGAGGGATTGCGGGCATTGCCTGCTGATGAGTCAGTCTGGGGCAAAAGGAGACCTGCCTCGCCTTCAGGCTATGGTAGCAGCTGTAGCCACACAGCCTAAGGAAGATGGAGCCTCAGATTGCACATTCTATCCAAGTCCTGATGAGTCCTGATTGCCACTTGGACAGCAGAGTGTTTCTAGTGTGTTGGGGTTCACACTGGGATCTTAGAGGCCCTCTTACAGAGGGGAACTGAAGGTGAGGGGTGGAGGGTGACCTGTTTAGGTTCCCTGGGTTTACTGATGGCAAAACCAAGACCAGAACCAACATCTCTACCCGCACCCCCATAATTCTCTGATGCTGAACCAAGTTGTAGTTGCCTTCAGGTGCTGGTGACTGGGCTGAGAAACCTAAGAGGCTTGCTTAAGGGAGGGAAACATGATCAGGCTCAAGGGGCCGAGGTACTTTGTGCTCCAGAAGTGTTTGTGACAGCTGTGACTAAGGGATTTGAGGAAATGGCAGGAAGAGAGATTTATGGCCCTCCAACTCCCTCCCTTGGTGTTGACCCAGGAACAGGTGTGTAGTGACAGGGACACATAAAGCCAGAGACAAGGCTGAACAGGCGGCAGGCCCATTTGGTGAGAGTCAGCTGACCCCATGTAAGAAGAGCCCCACCTCACTGAGGAGTGGGAGAGAGAAGTCTGAAGCGGAGCAGCCAGCCCACCACCCGCCCTGACGTGATGGCAGGGGAGAGCCCAGGGCCAGGGACCTGGTAAGCGTCCCTAAGAATAAGGAGGCTAGTGCTGGGAAAAGCAAGGAACCCAGTAATGGGAGAGAGGTTTACAGGGCAGGGTGGGGCCAGGCAGATTGCCCTTGGAGTGGCTCAGTGGTTGTGGGTCCTAGAGTGTTAAGATGGATGGAGGAAGTGCCACACCACACCTCTTATCTCATACCCATTGTCCAGGCCAGTGTCCACCCTGCCCTTTACTAATTCCCTTGGGGCTCTTGGATGGAGACCTGGAGTAAGAGTTTGTGCTCTGAAATTGCCCCCGGGGGTCCCTAGTACTCCATTTTGAGGGCTGTTCCCACCATTTTACCCCTCCTCCCATCTTTCCCATAATGATTATCTGCTGTGTCCCCTATCCCAGGACCACAAGTAAAGGCACTCACCCCTTTGGGGACGGGGAAGTAGTCCCTTATTCTGGGACACATGAAGTTGTCAGCTTCTTTTTGGGGAGGGGGAAATAGTCCTTTATCTCAGGACAGTGTTGAGATGGGGCTGGGTGTGTTAGGAGCCCACTTTATTCCAATCCCCCCCTCATTTCCTCCCTCCCCCAAGTAGTGTGCCTATTCCACAATGGGCACATCAGCCCAGTCTTAGAAGTGTGTGTGTCGATGCCGCAAAAGAAGCCACAGAGACAACTTTTTGGTGCGCCTCCACCACCCCACAGGGTCCTGGGACACTGTGAGATAGGGGAGGTACTTTTTTTTTATTTTTTCTAGAGGCGGTCTCTGACCTCCAGGAGCTTACAGTCTAGCTGGGGAGACAACTAAAAGCACACCTAAACAATCATTACAATTAGCGTTTACCACAATGTTGACCACAACTGCGTGAGACCTGGGAAAGCAAGATCAGTGAGGGGTCGGGGGCTCGGAGAAGGTGTTTTGGTAAAGATGGGATTCGTTTACTCTTTGAATAGGGCCGAATCAAGTGACACATTTCTTTGGGGTGGGGTGGGCTTGGAAGGCAATGAGGAGGATAGGGGCATTGAGGGAGCATAGGCAGCAAGGTTGGAATGCACGTGCTGTAGGCAAGGGACAGTGAGAGGGCCCCACTCCAGTTCTTAACCCTCCTCCCCCACGCCCTCCAGTCCGGCCACACAGGCACGCAGTTGGTGTTCTCTGCTGCACCAAGATTCAGGGCTTCGCTTGGCGATGTTGGAATGTCCATTCTGCTGGCTGGTGTGGTGTTTGGATCTCTGTGGTGCGGCCTGCTGGCATGGCCGTGGCTTCGGGGCTGGGCTGGTGCTGTCCCGACTTGGTCCAGATCAGAATGTGGTGCCTATGCCCGGATCTCAGGGATGTGCTCCCCCATTCCCCCTCCTCCCCCCCATGCCCCGCAGTGGGATGGGGCAAGGATTGGGAAGGGATCTGATATTGTCGTCATTGTCGGTACTGGTACTGCTTCTCCGGGACCTACCGGCCCCTCACTGACCTTGGCAAGTGCTCCTCTGGCGAGGGAACACAGGGGAACCCCCATTCCTGTGCGGCATTGGCTCCGGTGTTAGCAGAGATGGACAGGAGCATCTGATGATGCGGCCGCGCAGGGGTGGGAGCTGGGGCCTCAGTTGGGGGCCCGCTGTCTGCGCTCCCCCAGCACGTGCCGCCCGGTCCGCGACACGGTGTACGCCAGCTTCTGCAGGGAGTACCTGAACACCTGTGTGAGAAACCCAGGACCCGCCCTCAGTAAAGAGCACCCGCAGCGAGTCTGCGAGCTGCCGTGCCGCCCGCGCCCCACCCCCTGCCCCGCCCGCCTGTCCAGTGTGGGCTGGAGAGGCGGGCGCGAGCACAGCTTGTCCACGAGTCAGGGCAGCTGGAGCTTTTCCAACTGTGCTGAGCGCTGCATGGCGGCAAGCTGATTGGACCCACAACTTAGGTATACCTCACTTCTCGCAATGGGCTGTGTCCCTGGAGGAATTCGAAAAGCGAATCCTACCCAGTAAATGCAGCATTCCAGGAACACCTTGAAGGAAATATGCGATTCCTTTGGCAAAGGATTCCTTTAGCAGGGAATTTTTCCTGCGAAGGGAGCTTTTAGGGTGATTGATTTTACGGGCAAAGCGCTTTCTTCTGATTTCTTTTTACACAAAGCGCTTTTGCTTCTATTTGATTTCGTTTTTCCATAAAGCGATTTTTCCTTTTTTGGAAGCGCTTTTTTGCCCTTCCATTTTTCCTGTGAAGGGCTTTTTCCTCCAATTGTTTTCTTCAAAGTGTTTTTTCTCCAATTCATTTTTTCAAAGTTAGCTCCTTTGTCTAATTTTTTCCTGCAATGCGCTTTTTATCTAATGCATTTTCTACCAAGTGCTTTTGTCTGATTTATTTTCCTGCAATGCGCATTTTTCTTTTTTTGGTTAATTTTTCCTCTAATTCGTTGTGGGGTTTTTTTGGGTTTTTTTTGCGAAGTGATTTTTTCTTCTGAGAAGTGCCTTTTTCTAACTTATTTTTCGTCCCACCCCCGCAAGCATTTTATATATGTGTGTGTGTGTGTGTGTGTATTTTTTAAGAAAATTTCCCCGCAATGCGCAATTTTTTAAGGCGGAAAATTTTTGCTCTGCGAGCTGAAAGTCTCGCAACAGAAGCGCCCCGCCTCCCTCCCGGGGTCGAGTCTGGGTGTAGCGGGTTTTTCTTACCGCGTAGGTCGCTAAAAGCCTCGGTTGATCGTCCGCAGCGGTCGCCCGCCGCGCCCCGAGTCTTTGTTCCCAGCTGGGCGCGGGCGCACAGTTCTGCGCTAAGAGGACGGCGCAGGGAATGGACTAGGGACGCGGCGGCACTTGGGCGGGCAGGGATCGCGGCAATCGGAATAGGAGGCGGCAATCGCGACGCGGGCTTGCGGGTTCAGGGGACACGCGCTGGGAACCATCTCCCACCCGAATCCCAGCACACTTACCTGCAGCAGCACGCGGAAGATGTACCATCCGATGATGAGCAGCTCAGCCGAGGCTGCCGCCACTGCCGCCATGGTTCCGAGAGTGCCGAGTGGGTGGTCGAGAGCGAGGGTTCGCCGAGGTCTGCTCGTCTCTCGGAGTCCGCTGTAGGGCGCACTGCCGCAGCTGCCGCGGCCGCGCCTTAAGTAGCCGCCCGCCACCCAAGTGCGCATGCGCGCTTCGGGGGGGCTTCGTGAGGAGGGGTGACTGGGGGCGATCCTCATTCGCCAGGAGAGGAAAAAAATAATCCATCTGCTGTTTCCACACCGACCCCCGCCTCCAAAGTTCCATCTTAGCCCCCTTCCAGAAGATTCCACCGTGCTCGCTTTTGAATTTTCGTGTAAAATGAAAGGGTACCGTGACTCTGGGTAGAGGGTAGGGGATGCAAACCTCTCGGGGCTGCGCCCTTTTCTCTCTGAGCCCTGGCCTGCACGTTTGAGCCTAATCTCCGCTGCCGCCCTATACTCCACTTTAGGCATGGGTGGAAAACCGAAGCTAGGGAGGGATTATCTGCCCTGTAGAGAAAAAACGGTGCCCCTTTCAGGAGCCGTGGCATCACAGGCCCGTGCTCAGCACTCTTCCTAATATTCAATGTGTGAGTTTTAAGCACAGATCCTCTGCTTCATTAGAGTCCCCGCGCGCGTACCGCTTCTCTGATTCTTCGCATCCCGCTTCTTGCGGTGGGAGATCAGGATCTGCAGGCGCGGTGCCTACTGTGAGGACCTGAGCCAGGACGCTGCGCTCTGGGCGCAAAAGCGGTAGTCTCGGAGTATCTAGTCTGGGAGGGATGCGGGAAGGATCCGCGCCCTTTCTGTGCGCGGGAGGAAGGAGCTTTAGAAGTAGTCGGAATGTGTCGCGGATAGTTTTCGGCAGAACAAGTTGTTTCAACCTCTGTCTTCTGCTCGCCTCCCCCAGGCCTGGTAGGTCTGCCCTGGCCAGTGGGGTCCTTTGTACCCGTTGCGCCGAGCGGCTAGAGCTAGAAGCGGGGTTTCGCTACCGCTGCGGTAGGATCGCGGTAGGATCGTGGGTGCCGCAAGCCGGGTTTCCAGGCGAAGCGGATCCTTTTCCGAGCGCCCGTCTTACGGGTCCCTAGCGGGTCGCGATCGCGGGTTTTCTGGGCGGGAAGACCCAAACGCCGTTTCTGAGCGCGGCCCTCGGCATACCAGTGGCCCGCCACGCACCTCTCTCTAGCAAGCTGCCTGACACAGGGGCCAACTGGCATTTACCCTTGTGTGGATAGAAAATTAATTTTGATTAAAAGCTCACGGAGGTCAGGTTCTATCCAGTGCCAGCGGCAGATGGAAGTGTAATGATCCAAGCGAGTTCAGTTTGGATGAAATGGCAGAGTGATTTTTCTCTGCATTGACTTTCGAAGAAGTTGGCTGGTTTTGGCAAAATGATGCCGGGTTACTTGACAAAAAGCAAGCTCTGCCTAGGCTGCCATCTTAAAACAAAGTATTTGATGGCGCCGCTGCCGCCGCTGCCGCCGGCAGCCTCCCGGAGATCCCTTGCCTATACTGGGGGCCCGCAGTGCGCCGCTAACTGCCTTAACTCGCCACTCCGTGCCTGAGCACCTACTGCCGCTAGAGATAATAGATACAGAACCCCGTCCTTACCACATGGGGGCACAGCACGGAGCCCATGGCCGTTCTGGGGCAACCACAGGGCGGTATTGTGAGGTCTGGGCCCCTGAGGACGGGCCGCAGCCCCAGGAGGCGATACATGATCTCTGCTGGGCAGGGCCCAGGCAAAGCCAGTCCACTGTACAGACCGTGCCAGAGAGCCCTCTCCCCGAGCCCCCAGTAGAAGCCCAGGGGAGACATCCCAGGAGGCTTCCCGAACTGGTGACTTGGAGAGGAGTGGAACTTCCATGGGTGGGCAGGGAGGAAAGGGCATTCACATTTTGCTGTTGTTAACCATGATCCATCTTCCCAAATAAGTATACATTCTGTTCCTGTTTTTTTTTTTTTTTTTTTTGTCTGTCTGTCTGTCTGTCCTTTGTGTGTTTGTTGTGTTGACTTTTCTCTTCAGGATCCCTGCTGCCTTGGTGATCCCGGGCTGACAGCCAGAGAGCACAGCGGCTCAGCTCCTGGAGAGTGAGGGTTGAAGAAAGCGGAGGGCAGCCGCCTGCGCCCGCTGGCTCGCATTAGGTCGGTTCCTGCAGCGGTGCTTGGCAGCCTTGGCGAAGGCCCTGCCCGGCAGAGATCATGTATTGCCTCCAGTGGCTGCTGCCTGTCCTCCTCATCCCCAAGCCCCTCAACCCCGCCCTGTGGTTTAGCCACTCCATGTTCATGGGCTTCTACCTGCTCAGCTTCCTCCTGGAACGGAAGCCTTGCACAATTTGTGCCTTGGTTTTCCTGGCAGCCCTGTTCCTCATCTGCTATAGCTGCTGGGGAAACTGTTTCCTGTACCACTGCTCTGATTCCCCGCTTCCAGAATCGGCGCATGACCCTGGTGTTGTGGGCACCTAACAGCCCACTCTGTTAGCTTTCCAAGGAAGCAGAAGACGGGAGGGGAGGCATTGACATAGGTCATAAAGCATTGGAGTTTCAAATCCCGCAGCCGCGGGTGCCACATTCCTGATGGCGCCTTTTTGGCCTGTGATGTTTTATCCTTATAATGTGAATAATGGCACTGACCGGTGCTTTTATTGTAGAGTCCTGTAGTCATGGGTGGTCTTGTGGTTGTGTGTGTTCTGTCCCCATTTTGGTCCTGGCTGGTAGGATGGCCACCCCCCTCGCCTCACTACGGTGAAGAGTCTGCACCCATCCTGGTCAACTGCCCTAGAGTGACCTGGGCAGATAAAATCCCAGTGTCATTGTCACCTCTGTGACCCCTCCTTGTCAGGGTCTCCTTCCTTCCGTGAATATTAGTGACTCCCCATTCCTCTCCCGGTTTCCCTTCTCTTCTACCCCTTTCCTTTTTGGGGGAGCGCCTAAGACAGGGCTCATTTTTGCACTTATCTCAAATTTGAAGAGATTGCTGACGCCCAAGAGCCTCGCTTTTCCCTCCTTGTTTCCTTGCTCAGCAGGCTAGACAGAAAAATGTCTTGACTGTTTGTTGTCCACGAATCTCCCAATATTTTCTCCCCTTCATTTTTAAGAAAGGAAGCGACAGATAGATGTTGCTCTTTCACCTGGTGTCTGGGCTCCTGCTTGCTGGCCCAGCCCTACGTCCTTTGCCCTTCCTCCTGTCCTTCTCAGCTGTCCCGAGGGGGGGTGGGCTCATTGTGTCTCCCGTGCATGCTCTGCGGGATTGAAGTATTGTGTGTTCGTGTAGATCTAGTAGTCCCCAGCTGAATGAGTGGGAGAGTACTTGTGTGTTTCGTAACAGCCATGAATCCCTTGATAGGTGTTTGGATATTTTTTGATGTGCCCTGTGTATGTGTGTGTATGTATGTATGTACAAATACATGTGTGTATATTCCTTTTAAAGAAGCTTTATCGAATGTGTTCTGATTTTGAGGTTTAGCAGTAGCTAGCTATATATAGTAGGTGCCGCTACAGTTTTTATTTAGCATGGGGATTGCAGAGTGACCAGCACACTGGATTCCGAGGTGGTTCAGACAAGACAGAGGGGAGCAGTGGTCATCGTCCTCCCGCCAGGAGCTTCTCCGTTCCTGCGCATATAGACTGTGCATTATGAAGAATACACAGGAAGACTTTGTGACTGTCACTTGCTTCTTTTTCTGCGCTTCAGTAACAGTGTTGGCAAACGAGACTTTCTCCTGGCCCTGCCCACTGGGGATCAGCATGGTTGTCCTTCCAGTCTGAACCATCCATCTCTCTTTTGCCTGAGGGGAGAGGGAGGTGGGCCAGGCAGAGAACAGAACTGGAGGCAGTCCATCTAGGGAATGGGACTGTGAGGCTGCAAGGCCACACTTGTGAAACGTTTGGACTGCTGTTCTAGAGCTTTTCTTTCTGGTGTGTTCGTTGCACAGCTGTTTGAAATGTTTAATAAAGCTTTATAAACTTTACTTTGTGTTTTTATGTGGCTGCAGTCCATTTGGATCCTGGTGTTGGATTTCTGAGTTAGTAGGGGGCAGGGGGACGCATGGAGGGGCTGAGTCCCTGGCGCCAGAGTACCTTAGCCCGAAAATTTGATCTGCTCTCTGGAGAGCAGATGGTGGGGTTAGGAGAGTGGGGGCAGGGGGCAGGCCAGGCGGTGAACAGGAGGGAGTCTGAAAGTTTTCAGAGATGAGACATTTGTGTTTCTCAGCTCCCATGGCTTCTCGCCTGAAATTGTTTCCCTCCATAGGAGATTTGAGTAACCGATCCCTTGACAAACAACTTAAGACAGCTGGAGCTCTAATCATCAAGGATTTTTATGGTGCTGCTTTTGAAGTAAAAATAAAATGAAACCCCTTATGACATTTCAAGTGGAAAAATAAATAAGACTGGCTGTCCAACCAGCGGACTTAAGGTGATGGCTAGAAGTGCAAGAGTGGTTTGGTTCCATGTCTAGATGTGCTCAGACTCCATGGCCATGACCTTTGAAACAGAGGGCTAGCTTATCAGGGGCCTGTGCTCGGTGTGCACCTCTGAATCTCTTCCTTCTAGAAAGCATAACAGGAACACTGCCTGTTCAAGGCATGGGGCTCTTGTTAGGATTTATTGAGATAACAGTTGTGAAGGGCTTTGGCAATATCATAGTAGATGACCTGTTTTACCTACCCCGATTTTTAAGTTATTGCTGTAAAGTTGCATGTGGTTTTTCTCCAGCTCTTTTAAATTTCTCCATCGTCACTTTATCCCTTTTTTCATTTCTAGTGTTGCTTATTGATGCTTTCTTTTCTTGATCAAAACTTGCCAAAGATTTGTCTATTTTAGAAGTACTTTGAAAGAACCAAACTTTTACCGATCATATCTGCTGAATATTTTTCTAATTTGATTCCTTTGTGCTTTTATCTCTGAATTTTTCTTTTCTGGGTTTCTGGATATATTTTGTGGTTCTGCAAAGTCTTGACAAGCTAAGGAATCATCCAGGCCATCCATGGAAAGGATGGTTTGTTCAACAAACACTGAGACCCTATACTAGGCTTGCTGGGGATTTCAGGGGCAAGACCCAGGCCTGACTCTCCAGGAGCTCAGGATTCTAGCCTAGTGGGAAGACTTAACAAAATAGACAATTGCAAATTCCAAAAACAAAACAAACAAACAAAAAAGGCTTTTGTGTTCCTCCTCTCCTGTGGAGGCACCTGGATGATAAATGAAGCCAAGATTATTGCTTATTTTGCTCTCCCTCAGAAAGCAGCTCTCTGTTTTAGGTCAAGAGGGCTTACGAGACACAAACAGGCTTCCCTCTGAAAGATTTGTGGCCCTTTCTAGCAGGGAGCCTGCACCCCCACCACCCCAAGGTGACTGCCAAATCAGCATTCTGTATGCCTAACAATGCTTCCCACCTAGCAGAGCATCCTGCCCCCTAAACTGCCTCTCAAAAAAATGAAAAGTAGATACCTCTTCCTCTTCGGGAAAGGAATAGGAACACCAGGCCTTAGAAAAGCCTCGCACTGCAATTCCACAGTCACTGTGGCTCCTAGTATGAAATGGTTGCCCACATGGTAACTAGTTACTTACCACAAGACTCCATGAGGCCTAGGTCTGGGCTGCTTTAGGAACTGGTCCGTGCCTGCTCTGGGCCTTTGTTTCCTTATAGGTGAAATGTGTTTGGAGCAAACAGTTTTCCCAGCCCTAATACCCTAGTTCTTTCTCCCAGGGTCTTAGAGTCCTCTTGGACCCACTTGAGGAAGGCAGCAGAGTTCTGAGTAGGTGGCTGTGCACTTCCAGGATAGCCTGCATATGCTTTAGGCTTAGTGTACCATGCAAGCCCAGATATTGCCTCTGTCAGGAACCTTTCCTGGATTTCTTCATTTTCTACAGGGATCTGCTTGCCTAGGGTACCTCACCCAGCATTCTGCTGAGTGCTATTGTTAGGCAGGCTTCCTCTTCCTTAGTGACTGAGTTCCTAGATGGTATGGCCCATGAGGGCTCCTCCTGCCTCCCAAGGGGCCTGCATTATTAATCATTCCACCAGTATTTGTCAGAATGCCACGCAAGACTAGGCCTTGGGACTACACAGTGGACAAGGTGGAGCATCCCTGCTAAAGGGAAAGGGGATGACATTGAGTGTCCCAGGGAATACAACTATGGACTGTGGCAGGTGCTAGAAGAGAGAGTCTAAGAGGGGATCTAATGCAGGCCAGGAGGATTGACATTCGGGTGTAGACCTAAAGGATGAGCATAAATGCTTGACCAGTGAGGTAATGAGATGTTATTTTTTCTAATCAAGCATCTCTGTGCTTACAGATAAGAATACTGGGCTAAAAGTAAAATCAAGGACTACCAATATCTGGCTGTCCTAGAATCAGAACCCAGAAAGGCTTTTGGGGTCAGTCTGCTTAAAGCTAGAGAGCTATTGGGAGATATGAAGGGGTTCTAAGGCTGAAATGCCAGTGGCAGGCCCCACAATTCAGTTCTGAGAACTCTTCAGTTTTCAGCTGACTGGAAACCATCACAAAGAAGGATCTGATGGGGTTTGGGGGTGAGCCAGTCAGAACAGCATTGAAGGTGGGATTCTTTCAGCAGGAATAGGACAGCATTTGAGTGGTAAGTAGCAAGGCCGTAGAGAAGGCTGCCACCTCGTCTAGACCACTGGGAATGGGAGAAGTGGGTCTAAGAATGACCAAGTGAAGAAGGGATGGCAGGAGACAGGGTAAGCTGGGGAGGGAGGAGGCAGTGGGAGATGACAAGGAAAGCCAACTCCTGTTGAATAGTGATAGGAAAGAAGACCAGAGAAGGGTTGTCACCTATGTCTATTCGGTTGGTAGAGCCAGAATCCAGTCTCCTAGCACCCAGTGCAAAACTCACTCTCCACCCTGCCAAAACGTCACTGCTCTGAGAAGAGGAAAGAACTAAGAAGTGCTCTCCTCAGCAAGTGATGGGAGATGATCCTGACTGAGGGCTTGTCCATCCTCAGCCCAGCAACCCCCGCTCCCCAGTGTCTTCCTGAAAGTCTCAGGAAGGACAGAGCTTGCCAGGCTGGTCTGCCAGGCTGTAGAGTCAAGGAGAGGGGAATTAAATATGTTGAGCAAAACTTCAATTGTAGAGCAGGCTCAAGGTAAAGTACAGAAGCAGCTGGCTGAGCAGCAGCTGAAGGCCTCAGATTGAAGCCCTTGGTCTCCCTTTGGGACATTGGGAAAAGGACTCAAACCTTGGGTGGGAGATAGACTTGAAGGACCAAAGAACCCTGATGTGAGCCCTCAGGGAGCCCCAGGTCTCATGCCCTTCCCTTGTGACTGCACCTCCCTGAACCTCAGTTTCCTCACTGTAAAATGGATATCATACCACCCACCATAGCATCTGCCTCAAGGCACAATCTCCACTTATGTTATTTATTCTGTTCTGTGTCCCCTGCCACCAACCCTTACTGGGCTCAGGCCTCCTAGGTTGTACTCTGATCCTCCAATCTCCCACTCATTCATTCGTGGGAGGAGCATTTGCCAGGCTCCTTGCCAACCTCTTTGACGCTGGGGCACAATGAGACCATGCGCTCCTTGAGGAGCTCAGATCGGTAGGAGGGAGGGCATGGAGGCAGTCTTGTAGGCAGATAATTACAGTACCGGGTCGTTAGGGCTTTAGTGGAGTTAGGCAGAGAGATTGCGTGGGAGACCATATGTCAATACCTCAGTGTGAAGTTCCTTAATTATTTTTCACATTCTCTGAAAAGACAATCGCCTAAAAAGGAAAACACCAAGACAGCTTTTTCCTAGGATGCCAAAGTCCTGAGTTTGAGTCCCTGCTGGGCCACCAGCTTTCCCAGTGACCCTCATGGATTTCTCTCTCAGTAGTCCCTGCCAGTCCAGCCTCCCCTCCATGAGGATCAGAGCACGGATAACTTTGAGAGCACTTTGTCATATATGGGTGGAACATGACCCTTTTCCAAAGCCTAATCCTCTGAGTGGTTCTGGCCTCTCACCTCGTTTCCTGGGTAGTTTGTAGAAAGCTTGCACTTGGACAGCTTACCACCTCTTCCAAAGCGAAACCCTCTGCCAATCCCCTATCCCACACTGGTAGTGGCAGCCCTCTAAGGAGGGGGCAGGGAGGCAGGAGCTAAGGCCCTGGGCCTCATTCTCACCCCTTCTGGTGTGACTTGCTCTTCTCTACTCACTCTCCTGTAGGCCTCTGTTTCCCCATTTATAATCCAAGGATGGGGCTGGACCAGGAAGTCTTTAACATTTCCAAAGCCATCTTCTGTGAAACATCAGTGAACTTGATCCTTGTTACTCCAATCTTAGAGATATTGGTTTAAAGAAAGAAAGAAAATATGTTAAGACAATTACATATTTAATCAAAGGATCTTTTGCATTAAAGAATAAACTTTAAATCTCTTGGGTGTAGAATTGTCAAGGATCTTAGCTTAGAGCCAAGACAGACATGGAAGAGTCTATGCGGGAGGAAGATAGACAAAGCCCTTCAGTGGTTCCCTGTTGCCTGTGGTCCCGTCAAAGCTCTGCACAACCCCCGAGGATAAGGACTTAGTCTTTGTCCCTTGGCCAGGCACAGAACCTGCCTGACCAGGCCTGGTATAGTACATGATACTGGCTGGTTAGCTAGCCTGGTGGGTAGATGGATGGACGGTTCAATCAACCAATTGCTAGATTCCCTAAGGAATTCAGTGGCCTAGTCTTTCCTAGAAGGAAAGGAATTCAGTTTGCCTCCCAAGTCTCTTGGCACCTCTGAAGTGACAGAGATTATTTTCCAGCCTCCAGACTAGTATTTTGAACACAGATATGTGAGAAGAAGCTTGTAAAAGGCTCCACAACCTGGCATCCTCCCTGTGGTGACAGTCCACGTGTGGTTTGGGAGTAGCCCGGCCAGGTGGTAGACAGCTCGTAAGACCTGGATGTAGGTGGGCTCCTGACTGCTTGTGAGCTGGGGACATTCCCCCTTCTCCCCTCTCCCTACCTGTCCCCCACCC